GCTCTGGGGTCTCGGCCCCTTGCCTGAGGTCCTGGGGACACTGCTGGGGTGATGGGGCAGGGGCTGGACCCTGTGGGGCAGGTGCAGAGCTGCTCTGGGGCACCCCCCGCCTCCACCCCACCCACACACCACACAAGAACGTGTCACACACTTTTAATGTTGTAGAGGGGCAGCGCCCATTTGGGGAATTCCAGCAGCAGGGATGGAGCTCGAGAGTGCCAGGGATGGCCACAGCCGGGGCAGGGGTGACAGACACAGCCATAGCTGAGGGCATGCCAGCGCTACCCCACGGCTTCACTTCAGTGCTGACCTGTGCAGAAAAGAAGCCTTAGCCCTGTGACCCTGGGCCCCCCTTCCCTGCAGCCGGAAGACAGGGACGGCCTGGGAGGAGCCTGAGATGTGACCTTCCATCCACATCCTCATCCCCATTCCCAGGAGGTGTCTCCTCTGCCCTGTGGCACCCCATGGCTGTGCCCACCTCACTCCCCATGAGAGTCTCACCGTGGGGAGAACTCGCTGGTTTCTGCCTCGGCCCCACATCTGCAGAGGGAACAAGATAGAGACAGGGATACCCCAGGACCCTGAAGGGCCCGTGCTGCCACACGTGGGCCATGGCACAGCCAAGCAGGCATGGCACTGGACATGGCACTGGGCAGTCACGGCGTGCACCCACCTTCAGCAGCTTCAGGCACCTCCAGGCTGTCCAGCCGGTCCTCATCCGTTGTGGCCTCACTGCCGTCCCCAGGTCCATCACCCTCATCCTCGCCCAGTGGCTCTGTGGGCAGGGGACAGCTCAGGTGGGACCTTCCCTCCCTCCTGCATTATGGGGACACCAGGACATGCCAGGAGGGAGGTGACCAAGCAGGACACTCCAGGATGTTCCCAGGAGGAGTGTGACCTGCCCAGTGTGGAAACCAGGGAGAGTCTGGGGCAAGACTGACCCTCCAGGGTCCCTGGGTGGTGCTACAGGTGGAGGTCACATCCACAGTACCGTGTGGGATCCCCACACAGGGCATGTGGCGAGGGAGGCTCTGCTTCTCTGAGGCCTGGGTGCCCCAGGCAGTCCCAGTGCCCCAGGCAGTCCCGGTGCCCCCTTGGGACAGCAGCAGTTTCCCCAGTGCTGGCACCTGTCTGGAACTCGATGGTCCTCAGCATCTCAGCCACGTAGTCCACGTTGATGGAGAAGTGGTCCATATTCTCGTAGCCAGGCTCAGGGCGGCTGCTCATTGATGCCTTGGACATGTCTGTGATCCTGCAGGGCCGAGACACCCCGGGAGCTGCAGGGTCCAGCACCCAGAGGCCACCAGGCAAAGGCTTTTCCCCCCATACTCCCCACTTACTTTTTCAGGAGTTCCTTGGAGTGCTGTGAAGGAAAGCAAAGGGGGATCAGTGTCTCCTGGACATCACCCCCGCCACAGGCCCACCCCTGTACATCCCACACAGGGGCATCCACAGATCCTTCTGGGTGAGCACAGCTGCGCTGCTTAGACAGGCAGCCCCACGGCCCTCGGGGAGCCATGGCACTACCACCCAGCCCTGGGGCAGTCCCAGCTCCCCTGTCCCCTTCTCTCCCTGCTCCCCCGGCAGGACCTGCAGGTACACGGCCATCTGGGGCTCCTCCATGGCCTGGATGGCTGACTCCACCAGTTTGGAGGAGGCCTCCAGGTGGTCTCCGTACTGGCGGATGAGCCCACGGACACGCTGCAGCTTGGCCTCCTGCTCGGCTGCGATGCTCTGCAGCAGCTCCTTCTTCCGCTCCTCCAGGATCCCGTACAGCGCATCAAACCGCAGCCCCACGTGCTGCTTCTGCCGCCGGCCGTTCTCCTGTGGGGTGGGAGTCCCTGCTGCAGCGCGTCCCCCCAGCACAGCCCCAGGGCTGGGCTCTCCCAGCGCCACCACACCCCCCCACTGGCACAGCCCCAGGGCCAGACCCCCAGTCCCAACCTCGATGGTGTGGCAGATCTCCTCCATCTGTGTGATGATGGCCTGGATCCGGTCGTTCCCCGCCACCAGCATGGCGATGCCGTCGCTGAGCTCACTCTGGGAGTAGAGGGCACGGGCGTGAGGGTGGCTGTGGGGGTACCCTCGGCCCCCCAAAACCCCAGGGGTTCCCCACCTTCTGGCGCTGGTAGACGGCCGGCAGCGGAGCCACCTCGCAGTCCTTGTGCGCCCCAAACACCTTGCACAGGGAGCAGGTGGGCGCCTCGCAGCGCAGGCAGTAGATGTTGATCCTCTCATCCTCGTGCTCCTCACACATGAGGTGCTGCTCGGCCTTGGCATGAAGGGGTCTACAAGGGGGTTGGGGGTGTCAGGTAGACACCCTGGCCCCCAGAGACACCCCAGCTGCAGAGACAGCACCAGCCCCAGGACCTGCCCAGCCCTGGAGACACCTCTGGCTCCCAGGGACCCTCCAACCCCAGGGACATTCCTGGCACCAGAAATACCTCTGGTGCTGGAGACACCCCCAGCCCCAGGAGTATTCCCTGGTCCTGTGTGGGCCCCATGACCGCCCAGTTCCTGCCGGGATCCCACCCCCAGCCCTCTCGGTGCCCCCTCCCCGCGGGGACCCCGCGCCTCCGGACCGGGCCGA